TGTATTTATTGTCAAAACATTTAATGTATTCATTGCTATCGGGATGTTAAGAGCATTCCATGGAATATAACAAAAAGTGTTTCTGAAGGGAATTACCTACCCCACCTTTAAATTGTATGTGTTAAAGGAGCATGTATATATCTTGGGATTAAATATGTCCTCCTACAGTACAAAATCTGTATAGAATAGTACGGACCAAAAAATAAACCTCAGATTTTAGGCAATATTAAAATATCTTTAACCACATTTAAGGGTGTCTCATGATAAATGTTAGATGAGCCTGACAGTTATTTTCCCCGGCAAATTTTTCCTCTGTCTATCGAGGAAAGCAAACCAGCAACCTCCCAGTCAGAGGCCATTTTTTTACATTTCAAAATGACAGTATGTATATATATATTAATGTGTAATAATAGTGTTTGAGATAAATCAGTCAACCTCAGCCCCCTCCATTGTCCGTCCTCTGCATTTTCACACCTGTTGCTTGGAAACTCCTGTTGTGCTTGAAATCACAACAAACTAAAAAAGTGTTGTATTTCAAACTTTAAAATCACTTATATGTTTATTTTCTTGCATGGAGTATGGTAGATTTAGGTACATCTTGTTCATTTTGTAGGTGATTTAATATATGGATAATTCACCTGCAGGGAAGACACATATCCAGCAGAGAGCAGTGTTCACCAGGATTAACAGGCACCAACTTGTCGATGTCAATTTCTTTTTTGTATTCCTTGTTTATTCACATAAGGGTTCTCTACAATTGAAGCCCAAAACAATTTGTCTTTGGATCCAAGCTAAACATGTGATTGCATTGATACACACTTTCATACCGAGACAGGAGAAACCAGTTGCTGCAGTAAATCTTTCTTATGTGCACGTGTGCACAAACATAACTGTGTGATATGTAGGCCTACTTGTATAAGAAGCATGTGCGTGTATAAAAAACAGAGAGGAAAACTGAATTTCCCCCTCGGGGGATCAATAAATGTCCATCTTAATCTTAATCTTATGAATCCCTCTGTACTTTACTCACATATTAAAAAGAAAAACAGCTTTGTTAATAATGTTGGGAGACTGATTCACTAAGGGATTAATAAAGTCTTCTCTTTATCCATAAAAATACAATACAATTGATGATATTTTGTATTAGAAATCTGAATATGCAAAGTAACTAAATGTACAACATTTGCCGCTACAATATTTGAATTTAAAGTAGTAGCCTACTTACAATAAATACACTATAGTTACTGAGTTACTCTCCACCACTGGTTTGTATGAGGGATGCTAAAACATTTTTAAAAAGCAGTTGAAAATGTACCATAATTATTTTGGTGAGTAACTAAAGTGGTATGAGTAAAATACTAATAAAAAAGTATAATTAATTGTGACGTGTGAGACACAGTCCATTATATGTCTTCCGTTGGGATCTTTTCCAACTCTGTATCCTCCGTGACCTTTCCTTCTTGGCTTTGTTCCAGGTGTTGTGCATTCCTTTTGTTCCCCTCCGGTCGACCCTCGCCACACCTCCCGTTCCTGCATGTGGGCGCTTCCTGATCATGCACCAACTCCCGCCATGCTGCTTGTCAATATGCTATTAACCCAGCCACCTTTCATTTCCCATGAGGGTAAGGGGCTACCGAATTCCTGCTGATGAGTTTGGCTGCTGCTGAGGGCACACAAGAGAGAGCCTATCATATTCACTTTTATGCATTCATTTAACCCGGTCCCATAAGAAGAGGCTCAGAGGGGCGGTGAAGTGTAACTAGTCTTCTGAGAAGAGCTGGGAAGTGAATGATCCTTTGCTCCTGTTTGAGGACAAACAAAGGAGAGAGGAAACAATAACAGAATCAGTGAGGTTAAATGACGGACTAGCTTCACCTGCTCAGGAGATTTACATTTATTTAACTCACATATAAACTGCAGGGCAAAAAGTCAGTGGAAATTAACCACATTATTTTACTCAAGTACTGTACTTAAGTACATTTTGAGAGGTATTTGTACTTTACTTGAGTATTTTCATTTTATGTTACTTCTACTCCACTACATTCTGGTAGCAAACACAGCAGACACATTAATACATCACTTATCATTAACCAGTGATACAATAAACATTTTTCAAAAAAAGGCCACTTATGAGTACTTTTAGATTTGGTACTTAAGTATACTTTTCTGCTAATACCTTTGTACCTTTTCTCAAGTAAAATGTTGAATGCAGGGCTTTTACTTTTAACTTAGTAGTTCTACACTAAGGTATACTATCTGAGAACTTCTTCCTCCATTGCCAATAGTACGAGGTCCACTCAACTTTATACCAGAACAAGATTGTTGAACATCTCGTCCCAAAACTGTGAGCATTAATTCTGCCATTGGATGAGCCTTCATTAATCCATTGAAGCTTGCTGCAGTGGTTTGCTTTGATTCAGCCACAAAGCACACATGAGGTCAACCGCTGGTGTTGAATGATGAGTCCTGGATCCTAGTTGCTGTCTCAGTTCCTCTCAAAGGTGTTGGATGGGGTTTGAGGTCAGGGCTCTGTCAAGTTCTTTGACACCAAACTGAAAGAAAAACATGTATTTATGGAGCTGGCTTTGTTGCATGGAGGCACTGTCATTTTGAAGCAAGAAACAGCCAAACACAAACCACAAAAAAATGTCCCAGACTAAAAGTAGATACATGTAAGTTGACAGGTGTCCACATTTGTTGGCCATAGTGCATCACTAATTGGACCTAAATTCCTACTGACTGGTAATCCCTCCCACTTTCCTTCATTTACCATCTTTCTTTTTCTCCTCATTTCATTCTTCAACTTTTCCTTTTTTAATTCCTCCTTTTTGAATTGTTCCTTTCTTCTCTTCTTCCTACCTTGCTGTTTTCTTCATGTTGTATCTGCCTCTTATCTGAAGTATTTCTTTCTTTTCTTTCTGATCGGAATTGCAAAATTGGAGGTATGTGGACATTTTGTATCCCCACATACTTGATTAAAGAGTGATTACTTTCTCTTGGGAAAGGCAAGAATTGTCCTGAGGCCTACTCCACTCTCTATCCGGAAAAGAGACCACAGCCCAAAAAAAGTGCATGTGTGATAATAAAGCTAAGTGATCTGAGTAACTCCTCACGATGCCTCTTTTCAAATCACTAGACAGGACTGGATTGAATGTTCCCCACAAAGTAATTACACCTCTTCTGGTTTTTGTTCAGCGGACACACAAAGACTCCAGTTAGTCTGAGCACTTGAATCATTACATGTGCAACTGACAGGGAAGAGGCAGGCAGAGGGAGGGTGGCATAGACAGACAGTGTATTACACACAGACCATATCAGCTTTCATTCCTGAATAAAACACGAGAGAGGCAAGTCGCAACGTGGAGAAAACCAAACATAAACTAACCAGAAGGTAAAACCTGAGTGGGTACCATCAGCTGTGTACTCATATGTGGTTGTTACAGTAATGCTCCATCACTTCTGAATAACAAGCAGCTGTTGGTTGGATCACAGTCAAATAATGTTTGCAATGATGTCTATACATTATTCTAAACTAAGGACAACATGACAGATGCCAAAGAACTTAGACTTTTGACAATTTCAGAGGAAATTTAGCAACATTTCTCATTAATTGATCAACTTTTTGACCAGTCTTATTCTCTCTGCTGTTTGAGAAATGGCTTGCAGATGGAGAAGTCATCAGGTGCAAGAATGCAACAAAATGTCATCTTTTTCTTTCTTTCCCTCATTCTGTCCTCACTTTCCTTCTGCAGCTGATCTAAAAATACAATGTGAAGGTTCAAGGCTTTCACTTTACAGTACCTTCATTCGTCAAACTTTTAAATTACGATTTTGTACATCAACAGGTTTGTTTATCATCCAGCGGATCAAGAAACATCTTACATTTATCCGCCTTCTCGTTTTTCAAAGTGCTGCAGAATGCTAGATGAAACATACAACTTCACACACACACTTTCACACACACACACACACACACACACACACACACACACACACACACACACACACACACACACACACACACACACACACACACACACACACACACACACACACACACCTCACAGAGCAGCTGCAGCTTTGATTTGGAGTTTAGAGAGTGAGGGAACATTTAATTTCCTCTCAAATTAAACTAATTAAGGAAGGGATTCAAACAAGCAGGAACATTTTGGTCACAGCAACTCGACTACTGCCATGAAGATTTGTATATGAAATCCAGAAAGAAGACAAGAGTTAACATGCAGTGTTACAAACCAAACATAAACAAACCAAACTCAGCTTTCCATAGTTAAAAGGAACACCCAGAAAACTACAAATACAGTCCAAGAACAGCAGGAGTCACTGAAAGCAAAGTCTGTTTATAATAACATAAGCATAACAACAGCATCCTTGTAGAGCAACAGTACATATTACTTCAAAACCAGTTGGCCAAAGATTTGTGTAAACATGAAAGGAATCTTATTTAGGACAGTTTGGAAAGCTGGTGTTCAACTGCCAAATCTGTATAATATCCAGATCTGTATTCTTATTTTAAAACTAAAAAATATTTGAATTGCAATTTCTCCGTTTAGAATATATATATATATATATATATATATATATATATATATATTTACTTTTTTTTATGTGATTGATTCAAACTAATTCCAAAAATAAAGGAGTAAGCTTGTCACTGCCTTTAGGTCTTTAGGCCTATGTCTTTTTTTGATGAAGTTCGGTACAACAATTGAAAACAATGGAAATTATTCCAATATTTTATCCTTTTACTAAAGAAAAAAAACGTTCTCTTATCATTATATCACACATCAAAAACAAGTGTTAATGTGCCAATCACTCAGGCATCTAATCCCATCATCATCATTATCATCATCATGAATCCAGAAAAAAAGTTTAAACCCCTCAACCAAAAGCGAGTGGGCGAGGTTATCTTAAGAGCGTACATTTTTTTTGCAACCAATCACAGCCTCATAACAGAGACGCACCTGAGGAGCTGCCAAAGCGCGAGGCGGACCGGCTGTATAAAAGCTCGGGTCTCACATGTTCCTCCAGCATCATTCTCTCTCCAAGCGGACCTACATCTCTCCCTCTTCCCAGAGAGCAACCATGATGCACCTGAGCGCGTACGAGACGTCGTGCCATTCCTTGGTCGTACTTTGCATCTTGCTGAGGAGTTGCCATGCATTACAAAACGACGCCACGGAGCTCCTGTTATCGCACGTGAGCGCGCCGGTGCCGGAGGTTCAGAGCAATGTGACCCTGAACCGAGCCCGGACCGGCGGGAGAGGAGCGGGCAGCGCAGGGCAGGACAGAGGGGGTGAGAACCGGAGCCGCTTTATTATTTGTTTATTCCTCATAAACTGCAATCATATTTGTGTGTGTGTGTGAGTGTGTGTGTGTGTGTGTGTGTGTGTGTGTGTGTGTGTGTGTGTGTGTGTGTGTGTGTGTGTGTGTGTGTGTGTGTGTGTGTGTGGTAGCCTATTGATAACGTTTCAGTAACCTTGTTGTGCTCAAAGATAGCACTCTTTAGGAATATTGCCTTATATTGTTTCCTTTTATTTTCTGGTGTTATTTCTAATGTTGAGTTATTTGCATGACATTAAACAGTCTTGATATCTGAATAATGTCTTTCCAAGATATGCTATTAGATTACTCATCCAATAGCTCTCACCTTTAGACAAGAAAACCGAACTGGCAAATGCAACCATTTTCCATTTTTTCCATTCCACTTTCTGAATTTCTTAATTCGAGGCTGCATGCAGAAATAAACTCTTGATAAAGCTCATTAATCGCTTTTGTCTTTAGTGTCTACATCTCAATTATTCAAACAAGGGACCCTTTAATGCGGCACTTAATCCCGTTACCATGATACCTTGATACACCTAATATCAAATAGCTAATCTGCAAAAAGTAGCATACAGGCTATCAAATTAGTGCGGTATGAAACATTTAGAAAATATCAAAAAAAATTCTATACGGTAACAGTAAAGTTTAGATAGAGTCTTGTGCAGGGGGGTTGTGTCAAAGCACACACTGAGCTCATAAAGTTGGCTTTGGTCCAGGCAGGTATAGCCCACTGGGTGTCAGTGTGGCTGAATAGAGGTGTTCTCCCATGAAGCCTATTTTCGCTCTGAGGCATTCCCAGCAGCCAGTGGTGAAGGAAGGAGGGGAGCAAGGGAGTTCATTCATCAAACACTGTCACATGGGGGAGCGGGGGGGCATTGTCACTAAGCTGTATGAATGGACCTGAGCTTGTGTTACAGTGGTGGAGGGGCGAGCAGGGGGACAGTGTTTGTAGCCTGCAGCAGAATAATACATCCAGTCACAATCCACTGATATAAAAAGAGACTTTTTTTTCACATGCCAAAGTTCCTCTGCTTTTTGAAGCAAAGGTCAAAATGCTATTGTGGCCCTTGACTTTGCCAGAGGCTAAGAAGGGGCTCAAAGCCAAGATAATGTACAGGATAAAGGACTGGAAAGTGATCCATTATTGTCGTTATTAACGTTTCAATACCATGATGAAGTAATGACATGTATTCACTGGTGTGTTATTTTGTTGCCTCAATTAGTGCTCGGAAAACTGAATCTTACGTTAGAGCTGCAACAATTAGCCAATTCATGGAAATCAACTATCAAAAGATTCAAATTATTGTTTTGGTTGTGTTTAAGTCAACATTATCTAATTTCTGCATCTCAAATGTAAGGATTAGCTTATTTTCTTTTTCATACATATAGATTTTTGGAATGAAAAAACAAAACATTTGAAGATGTTACGTCAGGATGTGTGAACATTTAACACGCTTTTTTCACTACTCACTGCCTTTTTCTAGACAAAAAACAATTGTTAAATGCATGATTTAGAAATGTATCCAATATACATCCAGCTGTCAGATTCTCATAATTCTCATTGTGTCTTTCCACAGAGCGAGGCCAAATTGGATGCAGAGAGCTGAGGTCCACAAAGTACATCTCTGATGGCCACTGCACCAGCATCAACCCCATCAAGGAACTGGTGTGCGCTGGAGAGTGTCTCCCAGCTCAGATGCTTCAGAACTGGATTGGCGGCGCCTATGGCAGGAAGCTCTGGGGTCGTCGGAGCAGCAACCAGGACTGGCGGTGTGTCAACGACAAGACCCGCACCCAGCGCATCCAGCTGCAATGCCAGGATGGCAGCACAAGAACATACAAAATCACTGTTGTCACCTCCTGCAAGTGCAAGAGGTACTCGAGGATGCACAACGAGTCGGGCAACAAATTTGAGGCGCCGGCTTTGTTGCCACCGCAGCTCCTGCACAAGCACAAGTCCAAGAGCAAGAGGAGGCTGGGGAAGAACCGGCTGAGTGAGAACTGGCACGAAGCTGAGCCCTGAGACTCACTCTGAATCCTTATGACCCTACGGAGTTTTGTCTCTGTGACATTGAGACACTATGTCCAGAGTTTGTGGATTATCTCTCAATGTGACTGGGACTTAATTTAGGTGAAGCTGGTTCCCTACTATGATGGGAGAACTCCAAAAGGCATGCTAAGGACTTTTCTTGTTGTTATATCCAAAAGGTGAAAAGATAATGTGAACAGAACTGCAGTGCTTTCTGGAGTCCCAAGCTAACACACAATGTCCCTGAATGTAGCCATATGCATGCGTTCCTATATATTCAGTGTATGTGCAGATGGAGAGCTAAAGTTCAAGCACCAACACCAGTAAACACCAAACATCTCAAATAAAATTCAGTGTAAATACTTGTACATATATCAAATTCTTACTTGCCTTTTTAAGAATGGCCATGTGTATAAAATGTTACTTTGTAAGATTTATGATTTTTTGATGTAATATATTCTCTGTGACAACATATAATATGATTGCTTAATTGACTTCAGCATGTGGGTAAAACCTGGAAAAGCGTTGTCATCAATCAGTCTTGTAGTAACTTTATACAAAATAAATATCCCTTTTTGTATCACATGCATTGTTGTCTTTGGAGGCTTTACCAGGTATGACACTTCAGTTAACCATTATAACCCATGCAAAGCAATATGAAGTTCTTATGTAGGTGAAAATTAGAAGTACGGGGTGCGGGTGCTAGTGCCTGGAGCCTCGCAGAAACCAATGTGAGTTTGGAAAATTGCACATTATAAATCTATTCTTGTATACCTCAACAATGGAATTATGATCAGTAGAAATGGCCATGACATGGGACCTTTAAAATATATAATGTTGGTATTATGTTAAACTGCAGGAATGCTCAAATGCTGATAGTTGATAATTGAGTATTAATTGAATATGATTGATATACAAGTTATCGAGAGACATGAAACGACAACCTACCTACTGAAATCACGCGAGAACAAAAGCTGCTTGTTGTATCCATAGCAGCATGCCAACGCTTTTCCAGATTGCATTCACTTGAATTTGACCGGAAATGGAAAACATGTAACATTTAAAAATAAACTTCAATCTAAATTTAACTTTTCTTTTTCTTTTCATTACAATACAGTATGAAGAACTGGCAATATACTTGTAAATTGATATGAAGTTTCCTACGCACTCCCCATCTCAGGGGCAAGCATTTTACTATTCTGAAGAAAAAAGAAAAAAACGTAAAACTCTATGGTACTTAGTTATTCGCTTCTCTGGGGATCTAGGCCCTTTACTTTCTCACCTTTAAGACATCTGAAAACAGTTATGTTATAGACACATATGTCAGCCCAATGCCCATCTATGCACCTTAGAAGCTTTTTGGTAAAAGAAACTAACAAAACCTAGACTAAAGTCTTTGTTTTATTTTGAAAGCATTCACCGGAAACACTCCATTAAACGGTTCCAGCTTTACAGCGCTGTTTTTCTAAATATCCATCCACGTTGCCGCTATTTTGCCTCCCCGCCCCATCAGCGGGGAATGGACCGTTTTAGAAATTACCTGCCGTGACCCCTCACCCACCAGCTGATGGAGGATCACCACAAAAAGATGCAAAGCGATAGTTGTGACCCAGACAGGCCCACTCATCCCGGGAGTTTCCCAACCTGTGAGGCCGGGAGGAGCGACCACCAGCCGGCGGAACGCAGCGTGGACTTCCCGGTGTCAGTCGTTCTCCCTGCTGGAGGCACCGGGGAAAGAACCGGTCTACAGACACCGAAACAGTTCTGCCTGTTTATGGGTCGGCCGCTCATAAGCTACACCATACAGGCTTTCGAGAGGTAGGAGAATGAAAAGGCGTACATTTAAAATGTCATAATCCCTTTTTGTGAACATATGCAACCTGCAGGTAGGCTACAGGTGTAACGTTGGTGACAACAGGTCCTTCACTTTCTCTAACGGCCGGTGTGTGGAGTGTGTCTGTGTGTACCATTAGCTTAATGTAACTAAGTACATTTACTCAAGTAACTTTACTGTACTTGAGTACAAATAAGAGGTACTCATACTCTCTTTGCACACCACTTTCTATCCACTACAATTCGGAGTGAACATTATGCAAGTTTGTGCATGAAAAGTTGATCAAATATGATGTTTTGTCATAAATTAAACCCCCTTCATTTTCTGTTTTTATAAATGATATATGAACTAAATGTACATTACAATACACACATCAATACATACACAAATGTCTGTCTTAGGCTGATCCAGCAAATGTAACATGACAAATACTTAATCTTTGATGCACAAATCATATAGGCAAAGATTTGTAATAATCCTGGCACTGAGTTTCCAAAATGGCCTCATATACTCTGAGAGATTAGTGATACCTACCATGGGATGGACAACGCTCAGGATTGACACTTTTATGTAATTTTATGGTTTATATCTTCATATTGCCCATCTGCAGGTGGACTGAGAAAACCAGGGCAGCGTTATTCTTAAACATCAGATTCATGTTTATTATGTGCACTTCTAAAGTACGTCAGGATTTGTAAGGTGCTATGAAAATCAATCTTACTAGCCTACTTACTTTTGTTAAGGGTACTATTATCAATCTTATTTAACAATGTATCAAATCATTGATACATAATGATGAAGAGAGGATGGATGTTGACACTGTGTTATGATCATTGCCTGTCCTTCATTACAACATTACAATAACAACCGGTTTTATAATCAGATGTGTCTGCTCTTAGCTTTTTGACAGTGTTCACCTGTTGTCGGGAAATGAACTACTTCCTGCAACATCCTGGGTCTAGACAGCAGGATGCAGATGCTCCCTGCATCTGTGTGGCCTGAGTGCTTACAAGAAGTTCATAGGTCATCAGTGTCAGTACTGATTAGTGGTTGATTTGGATCCATAATCCAAGCTGGGTGATTTAAAAGTAGGGCTGCATGGGTCTGTAATTGGCTCTAGATGCATGATAATATATTATTATTTAACAATGTTGAGACTTTTTGATTATTTAGGCAACGTGGATGGATCCTACTCCTAGTCCTGGAAAAGACAACTTAAACTTAACTAATGTGCATTTAAAGAAAAGAGGAATAGTTTTGGCGAAAACTAAAAAGGTACCATGGGGTACAGGAATTAGTTTTGGTTTCATGACCCTGGTTCACGGAGGACACCAAAAAAGTCCTAGAAAGACAAGGTAAACTTAACTATGTGCATTTAAAAATAAAAAAGAGGAATAGTTTCGGCGAAAACTAAAAGGCACCATGGGGTCAGATTATAATTTTCCAAAGGGGGGTTCGTTCAGATGTGTGTATCTCACTGCACTGTAACTGTGATTCATGTATCTTTGCTTTTAAATTAGTGTTTTTAAATGCCATTTTATATCATTGCTTTTAAATGAGTGTTTTTAGATATCATTTCATAATATGTTTCTTAAATGCTATTAATGTCTTTCATTTTTGTAAAGCACTTTGAATTGCCTTGCCTTGCCTTGCCTTGCCTTGCCAAAATCATTTATTTAAAGAGTAGCTCAGCACTCTGGGAACTGCGCTAATTTGATTTCCCTCTCCTGTTTGTATGCTAAATATGATGTCAAAGCCAACAGACACTTAGCTTAGTTTAGTAGAACAACAAAACCACAACTTTTAAACACCTTTTGTATTGTACTTTTGCTGGTTTGAACTTTTTCTCAGTTGTATTTCTTATTTAAACCAAATATCTTTTGGGTTTGGAGTCGGACTCTTGGTTGGCCAATACAAGCATTTTCAACTTGAAACAGGCCTTTTCAACATTCTTCAGATGAAACAAGCAAATAAATCAATAGATTAGTTACAGCCATAATTCCTATATTTAAAAAAACTATAGTAGGTGTTATGTTCTGACTACCCTCCTTGGTTATTATGACTTCTCACCTGACAAAACAAACGTTGCTGAGTGAACTCTGTGTTTCGCAGGGTGTCATGGATCCAGAGCATTGTGGTCGTTGTTGCCAGAGAACACATGGACCTCATGACGGACATCGTCCAGCAGTTCCAGCACACGAAGGTTCGAGTGGTGCCAGGCGGCTCGACTCGCCACAGGTCGATATATAACGGAGTCCTGGCTCTGGGAGAGGAGGGGAGGCCGGTGCCGGACAAACCGAAGGTGGTCCTCATCCACGATGCTGTGCGGCCTTTTGTGGAGGAGGATTTTCTGTACAAGATAGCCATGGCTGCCAAGGAACAAGGAGTCAGTATGATAACAGCTAGTATATCTCACATAATATAAAAATGTATATGTTTGTGTTTTTGACTGTTGACACCTTTTTAAAGACAACAACTTGGACTTATGGAAACTGGAATTTATACGTTTTTACTATTTTAAGATGTTTTCTAAACCATTAGCTGGATTTACCAAGAAAGTAAAGAAATCAACATCTCAGTAAATCCTGGAAAAGTGGGCATTTATCACTATTTTTAGATATTTGAGACAAAATAGTCTACTATTTAAAAATTAAATCGTTAATCGTTAAATCGTGAAAATAATTGTTAGATGCAGCATGAAAACACATGCTGATTTTGAGCCCAGTTTCCAGATTGTGTCAGTGATTTTAAACCTTGCAGAGGTATCAAGAGGGTGTAGCATTTTTTCTTTTTCTTTCTACAGAAATCTATGGAAATTGGGCCTTTGCTCACTGCAATTAGTTCAATGCTGCCACGAGGAAGCATTTAAAGCTCAGTTAATGTCAGAACTTGGAAATTATCATAATTCAAATGATCTGCTACGCTCCTATATGTAAATATAGCTTGTAAATATGTAACCTTTATGGATAGCCTGTGTTTCCTCATCGTAATGCGTCTACGAATTGAGGAAACAACCCCAAAATGCCAGTAGTTCCTCATGCTTGGAAAGCGAAGTTAAACTAATTAAATCTCGACTGTAGCTCATTTCTTCATCTAATTTTTGCTGAAAACCAGAGAAGGTCAATTACAGAACAATTCAAACAAAATCCATCATAGTCAGCTGCAGTTTAAAGAATCAAAACTCGCACCTTATGGGATGACAAGTTACCAACTGCAGCACGTGTTATTTGTTTGTGCAAACCTGTGCTTCATCTTTCAATGTGCAGTGTGGACATAAATAAACCAAACACTAAAAGTACAACAATGTTTTCTTGTCAGCTTTTACCAAAGAAGACAAACAGTTCTTGTGATTACACCTTAAGGTCTTTCCATCTTTTTTGAGAAACTGTTTATCAGTTTGACAGATCCATCGCTCCCGGTGGTGAGGTTTATTTCATCAGTGATGGATGGAAAACATTCAGGCCGAAGTCACGCCCGCTGTGACGACCTTACTTGCAGATTAGTCTCATATTGATTCATGACTGAGACTCTGTTCAATGCAGGTCACAAAGGTTGTGAAGAAAGCAAGAGCTCCCTGACGTGAGGGCAACATTAATGGTGTGTTTGAGAGTGTGTGTGGGCTTCTTTGTGATGAACCTTCACAGCAGGCGGTCTGGTCTTCATTATCCTGCCAGTGTCCACGCTCATGGGAAGGAGCCCGTCTCCACTGAAAAGCAGCAGATTAATTTTGATTTTAACAGCATGTGTAACACACAGAACACATGTTTGCTTTCATTTCATTTGCGAGACGTTCCTCACGCACGGGCTCGCTGACCGTCAACTCTTAGAAACTGCCTTCCATCTATCATGCTGTCGGGAGAGAAAAATATTCTCTCAGAAATGTGGATTATTTTCTATTTCCAAGAAGTAAAAGCAGTGTGCACTACAGCTGTTAGGATGGATTTTATATTACTGTGTAATATGGCTGCTGACTCAAAGTATGACCGATGTGTTTCATGATTATATTATATGATATTGTGCAGGATTTTAGTCTTTCAAAAAACACTGCAGATTTGCAATTATTGATTATTTCCAGTATTGATTAATCTGCAAATCATTTCATAATATCTTTTTTTTATAAATGTATAAATAATTCAAATGTATTTTCCCATTATAGTCCATATTGATGTCTCAGGATGTCTTGTTGTATGATATCAACAGAGATACGCAGGAAATATCCATCTTTGAGAACTTTAAACAGGATATATGACATTTTTGAATGAAACATTTATTAAAATTATTATCAAGATAGGTACCGATTATTTTTCTCTCGATTGATTAATCCATTATTTGCTTAATGATTGCAGGTCTTCATTTATTGAAGCAAGTTTGTTATGTTTTTACCACAATTCCAACAAAAACTGGTAGAAAAACTAAGATAAATGAATTTTGACTTTCATAGTTTGTTTACTGTCAAACTTTATTAAAAAATAAATTGACAACATCAACATGTATGTGTTGTTAATAAAAGCTGATCTGTGAGCTGACTATCATAACACCCATCAAGCGCCAAGTCAGCAATATGTTTTAGATAATTGATTAAATCATTGTATATGAATACACAGATTGAGCTTGTTTAGTGATAAAATATCTATCTTTTATTGTATTTTAAACAAATACTAAATACTTGTTTTTTTTTCGCCCAGGCAGCAGGAGCTATCCGACCTCTCGTTTCCACGGTGATAGCCACCACATCAGAGGGCTACCTGGACCATTCTCTCGAGCGAGCAAAGTACAGAGCCAGTGAGATGCCTCAGGGATTCACATATGATGTCATCTATCAAGCCTATCAGAAGGTAGAGTCTGTCATTTCATTCACATTTAACACACACCAGGGTGTTCATCTGCTATTAACGTGGGTACAAGGGTGATGATGACAACAATTAGTGTAAACGGGATAAGAAAGAAAAAGAAACACAATGAGGACATGCCATTAAAGGTGCAATGTCTAATACCTGGCCAAATGCTCCAAACTAATAGGAGGCAGCATTCTCATCTACTATTGGATCCATACAATACAAGAGTATATTACATTTAAACCAAATTGCTGAAACTTTTACCTTGCTGTGTAGTGTCCGCACATAGTTTGTTAGCCATGTGTGCTGCTACAACCAGGGATAAGTTTTGATATTTGGTTTATTGGACTAAATCCAAACTGGCAGAAGCAAGAAAAGCAGAGGTAGTGCTGAACTGGCGGGGAGGTCAGGCACTGCCCGGGAATAAAAGAAAGTCCTGGCTGATTTTGTCACGGCCCAAACTGAAGGTCCGTTTCCTGAGGCTGTGGTACATTTTCCTCCTGGCGATGTAGTCTGCCCGTAGCATCATTTTCTTGCTTTTGCAACTTTGAATTTTATCCAATAAACAATATATGCAAGTATACACTGTTCCCTGTAACTTCTTCACGTTCTGTTAATGATTGATTGAATGTTTTAAACTAAAGCATCCAACTAATCTCAATTAAGCATGCTTCTTTGTTAGGTTGTTAAAGTTATGGCTGTAGCTAATACCCGCAGAATTGAAAAGTAGCAGAAACAACAAGCTTCAGAGAGGGGGGACAAATGAGAAAGCTAATACAATTTATATTCCCTTATTTTATTGCAGTTACTTGCTGTCCTCCTCAGTTTATTTTACTATTAGTACTTTGGACAATAAAACAATCTTATCTTCATCAATTACCAGGGGAAGAGCACATTGGTCACATTTGCCCATTAATGTAAAACCTTTATTACTGTTTTGTTTTGTTGTACATGCATTGTTAAATTGAAGAGCGTTGTATTCATTCTGTGCAACTGAAGAAGTTAGGCAGCACACTACGATTTTGAGTGGATTTCTGCAACTGCTATATATTTGCAAAATCAACACATAATATCACAGGTTGGAAAAATCCTGTTCTGCAGCGTTTTACCCACTCCTAAATTATTGCAGAAAAAATGGTTTTTAGTCTTATGAAATAACAGTCACATTCAGATGTATGCTCTAAAAAATTACACCATTTGGATAACAAAGGACTTAATGGTTCTCATACATCATAACAGGCCTTCACAGTCCCTCATTGTTCAGCCGATGTGCCAGAACCTGCAGGTTTTCCCTCTAAAAAGCTTGTGGCGTGGGTGCTATCATTTTCTCTTGGCCTCTGCTGCGTCTGGGAGAGAAACGACACGTTCATATTTTTCGCCACACTCCAGCAGATTAGTCTGGAACAAATGTGAACAAAGGCTTAGTTGGAAAAATGGAGAAAGAGCCCTAAAAATACATGGCACATTTAGGTGGAGTTGGATTAATGGTCTCAGCAGTTGAGTGAGTTTTAATCTGTGTACCTGAAAAATGGAAAGAATTTATCCGCTGACATAAACTGTAAATGCGTTGATTCTTTGCTGAAAGCAGAGGCTTATTGCTGAGACTTGGCAGGCTAATGCACGCAAACCTAATATTAAAACTAAAATTGTAGAAGTTGAGCTTATTTATTTGAGCTTGCTATTTCAAGCTTGACTTCATTAGATGGATATTCCGATAACCACGTCTCTGAAGGACGCAGCACATTTTGAGCCAAGAGCTAAAATATGCCTCAAGTTTTTTTCTTTACTATGTATAGATTGCTTTGGAAGCTCTCATGGATTTGATATAATAATATATTGAGCTCTCTTAAATGCTGCAGTGACAAGGGACCCCCTCTCTCTCTCCTTTTTGCTCTCCTGCTCGTCAACCTTTCAAAAAATAGGAAAAGTGTCAGGTTAGGACTGTAGGACATGCTCATGAAAAATCTCTGGGAGCTGCACATTTGTAGCTTGACATCTTTTGAGAGCAGAAGAACTTAGCACTGAAAAGACAAAGGGGGAGACACTTTATCCGGTCCCCAGTGAAAGCTTTTGTACCAGGAGATAATGCTAAAGGTAAAATTACCCCACGACGGATAGCGTATTCCTGCTGTTATTTCTCTCTTCGGTTCCAGCGTACATGGCATAAAAGACCCCTCTCAGTTATACCTTGACAAAATATTACCCAGCTATAATCTCGGGTAGCATGGATTTGTTTTAGCAGTCTTGTGGACTGAAATAAACTAAATTAGCTCATTGCCTCCAAACTTCCCCCTGATCTAAACCAGCTTAGTTTTCCCAGCGGTGAGTAAAAGCACAAATACCAAGTTCACTGGTACAAATCAAAGTACATGAATTAATCTTATTTAAACATTAAAGGTGGGGTAGGTAAGTTTGAGAAACCAGCTCGAGTGCGCTAGAATTTGAAAATACACAGCCGGAAAAAATCTGCCACTTCCTTACAGAGCCCCTCCTCCAACACACACGAACGCGCACATGACCAATGAGGGCACGAGATAAGTTTGTGCACAGATGGAAGGCTGACAGGCAGGTAGGCCATCCAGTCATTTTAGCCGGGCCGGCTAAAATGATTGGTCGTACTTTTTACAGTATTACGGCTTCCACAGATGACATTTTTTTATGGATTTTTTGTCAAAGCACTTAAAATATTCATTGCTATCGGGATGTTAAGAGCATTCCATGGAATATAACAAAAAGTGTATCTCGAGCCGGTTTCTCAAACTTACCTACCCCACCTTTAAATAAAGGCTTGAAAACTCGAATTATTTGTTAAACTTTCATATGGATTATTGTACCCTGAAAAAGTAAAGGTATACATTATTTTCCAACTTCTGTCCCAGATTCTGCATTAACATGCACCTCAAGATTTGCAGTCACCTGAAATAAATTCTAATCAGTTCTAATAGACTTTAATTTCTCTTGGCTCACAAATACATTTTTCATCCTTTATTTATTTCTTTTTTGTATTGACTTTCCGTGAATTAGGACAGAACTACCCTTCCTCCCATTTGTAGCACATGCAGCTACAGTCACGCATGTTTTTGTGTAACAGGTTACACATTATTTGAGCTGTTTTGTGCACAAAAGCATCACATTTTCATGTGTAGCATTCCCTTTGAATGAAATGTACTAGAGCCACATGTTCTTACCTACTAATGAGCATTGGAACAATAAGTTGAACAAGGGAAAATAAAGCACTAGATCAACAATGTCACATCTGTGCTGTGGAATAGGTGCAGTGAAGTTAAAGACCATTTTACAAGTTGCTGCTTTTATGATAAAACGTGTTAAACTACTATACTGAATGTTTGGAAATGTTTTTCAGCATCCAACACAAATACATTCCTATGGGTAAAACTGTTAGCCTTTAGATTGAGAAGTGAACAAGAATCAAGTGACCCACCAGGCTGTGGGAAACATTTGTCCATTTCTAGCATATGTAGGAAAAACATTGTGTAGCATCCAGAGTTATAGAAAAAACAACTTGCAGAATAACGTGAGAAAAGCTCTTATAACCTGATGAAAACAAATTCAGAGAGATAAGATATTTTAACAGTCCATTTGCCAAAGGAAACCATATCGCCTGAAGTGTCTGCTGAAAAATGTGGTGCTGCAGTATCATCCTATGAGCCTGTTTCTGTTCTGTTCAGACAGCAGCTGCAATCTCGATACAGAGTATGAAAGGTTTTGGACATATTGAGTGAAATATTTGCAGTAAGTTAAAGAAGAATTTGAGAACTCTCAAGGCGATGACAATATGTTGCACAGAACCCCGTCACATCAGGATTGTCTGCACAAAAGAGTTTTCTCTAACAACTGGTTAATCAGACCAGCATATTGTCTGCATTCTTGTAAATAACAATGTTAGGCAATAGTTAAAAGCAGGTGTTTTAAGTTGACTTTTTGGCCTCTTCTGAATGGCGATGTTTGTTGAAAGCTTCGGTGCTGAGGCACCATTGCACCAATCTGTCAAACTGGCACCTCATTTGAATGTTACATTTCTTACAATGAATTAACTGTTCAATTTTGTATGATTTCCACATGTACATGTAGACACTTCAAAATCTAAGTTGCAGACAGGTTTGAAGTTAAGCAAGGACATTCACATTTAATTTAGGTTATTTCCTGGGTTGTTCCCTTGCGGCGCCCACAGATCAAAAACTCAATCTCAAGATATTATTATCCATTCAGCTTCGATTGCCAAGAAATGATAGTACAACATTCAATTTCCCAAGTAAAGGACATGTTCCTCAGAGCATTATTCCCACTCACTTCAACAATCCACTGACTTTTAGTCTATTGCCACCATGAGGTTCGCATTTGTGGTTTTGAGGGGAATGTCTTGCCAACTGTTGGATGGATTGCCTTTAAATGTGTTGAAGACATTCACAGTCTTCACAGGGTGAATTGAAATAACTTAATAATCGCCAAACTTTCCTCTAGTGCCTTTTCAGATTAAGATCACTTCTCCTTCTCGTCAGCCTCAGCTGTGATAAGTGCTAAAAAGCAAATGTTAGATTTGTAACACACGTAAGTGAGACTAAACGGCAGCATGTGTTTAGCCTCACAGAACTAGCATGTTCAATATCAGTCTTTTTAGTTAATTTAATCTAGCCTAACACAATTGTTTTCACCTTCCAGTCTATTAAGAATACAATCGAGAATATATCCATCTATGTGTACAATTCTGACATCTATTCTTAAATACAAAGTGTATTATTATACCATAGATTCTCAATACATCTGTCAATGAGTTTGTTTATCTAACCAGGCTTACAGTTGGTTGCAGCCTGTGGTGCAGTTCCAACACTGCAGTGGTATAACATGGTGTACCACAGTTTCACATAGGGCTACTCAATTAATCGTTTTTTAATCGCAATTACGATTTTGGCTTGCAACGATTATGAAAACAACATAATCGAAATAAAACGATTATTATTATTATTTTTTTTTTATTGGTTTTTCAGTTGAATTATACTTAAAGTTCAGAGTAATTAACTGTTAAAAATATACTGTTCAGTTTGTTTTTTTCAATAGATTGATGTTTTCAAAGTAAATGGATAATCGTTTTTAATAATCGTGATATCAATTATTGACCCAAATAATCGAGATTATGATTTTTGCCATAATCGAGCAGCCCTAGTTTCACAGAGTGTGATGGAAATGTATTGTTGTCAACAATAGTCCACAGCTGCTCTTCTCTGTTGTGTCCTTCTGCAGTGCAGTGAGTCAGACTTTGAGTTTGGCACAGAGTGTCTCCATCTGGCTCTGCAGTACTCTGGCACCAACGCAAAGCTCATCCAGGGCCCGCCAACACTGTGGAAGGTGAGCTCTCCAGGGGGGTTGGGGATTGTTGATTTGGTGACATTTTGGTCCATGACAGATATATTCTCACCTATTGGAAATACTTTTTGGTTAAGGAGATCAGTGCCGGAGGTTTTAGCTTTTAATTAGGTTTTTTTGTTGTTTTTTCCTCCAAACATATAGTCCATTATCAACTGAGCTTTAGAGTAAAAGAGCAGCATTGTTTTTCGTGACTTAAAGCAAGAAATGGCACTTGCAGGGGATAAAGAAAATATAGTTTTTCCTGCCATACCTCCCCTTGCCTGTCAACAATCTTGCACCTCACTCCTATTATTAACCAAAGCTAGGCAACCATGCCCAGAGTATGGACCTTTTTGGCACAAGTAAAGATGGCGGGGGAACTCCAGTCTAAACTAAGGCTCCTGAGCTTCTAAAATGGTTCCTGGAAAAGTTCTTGCAGTGGATTCATGTTATTCGATTCTTTCATTTGACATTTTCTAGAGGCTTTGGGAGGCAATACTTTTCCAAAACTAAATACAAATAATAAAAACACATTTTTAAACAAAATGTGTTTCCTTTTTCCCTTGTCCTTAGACACTGTGAAAGCTATTGTCATGTCATCGTGTCACTTTTTTAACGAAAACCAAATGGAATTCCCTCCACCTTTGGTGTTTTAGTGTAGTGCTATATTTTTTGGAGGTAGATATCTTGTTAATATCCTGGCACACAAAACCAAAGCCATTGCCAGACACCTCCTATGGATACAAATGTTTTTACTATATTAGGGGCAACTGATCCATTAAACCCAGGTTTTTTTTCTCCTTCAGGTAACCTACAAACGAGATTTGGCTGCTGCAGAGTCCATTATCAAAGGTGAGTCACCTCCCGTCTTAATAACATAATGTATGTAGATTAAATGGTCAGAAAATAGTTTTAGTCTCTTTTTGTTGAATGAACCAAATTACCCCCTTACTGTACGAGAGCAGTGCATTCTTCAAAGCATTGTTCAGCTTGGTTAAAACTTGTTGGGTATAAAGAGTCTGGGAATACTACAAAAAGCAAGTCAGGACAAGGGATATTACCACAATCAGAGACAAGGAAATAAACACAGCCCCATATTTCACCCCCCCAGCACCTGGACCAACAGTTACCTGTTTGATGATGACATAAGGTGCCAGTGATAATTCCCAGGGCCTCTGATGTGAATGAATTCATTGTATGTTTTTTGGAAGAAAGTTCTCACATCTATCAGTATGAGAAACTGTTGTGTGTTTCACTTTGTGTGTCTTTGTGATTTTGTGGGCTGTATGTGAGTGCTTGTGTGTTAGTGCAGGCCTACACATGGCTGTATATCTTTAAGAAGTGTGCTTATTTGAACACTTTTTTAACTGATTTCTAAATGGATGGCTTTTTGAGTGAGGCAGCCCTTCTGGTCCTCAGGTTTTTGCAGCTCTGGCTGTTATATGTTGTTGAGATTGTTCATTTATGTTCTGTTTATTTACCATTACGTTCTTATTTCACCATAAAGGTGCTATTTTTTTGCCCCCCTGGTTCTGGAAGTAAACGTTTTTCTCGGTTAATTGAAACAGTATAACATATTTACAACTGTGTTAGAGAAGTGTTATTTCTGCATGTTCCAGGAGGTTTTGAGACAGTCTTTTGTCTTTCTCTTGCAGATACTCTATCGCGGTCGGCGTGTGTTATCACAGGTGGATCTGCACAAGCCGTCACACTGGCTGGTGCCCTCCAGAAAGCCGTTGGAGCTCTCAACATGGTAAGTGTGTGTCAGTCAAACCCAACTAAAAAGCGGCTATTTTGATGACAGCATTACTGAAGATCCCCATCAGTTTGCCATTTATATTTTCCTCAATCTCCCCGTCCCTGTACCCCCAATCCCCCACAAACTGAATGTGAGCTCCACTTGGGTGGGCCCGATGGTGAGACATGCTACCATCTGCGGTCCAACCTCTGATGGAGCTTGTCTGGGACATACACTGTCTGCTGCTTTCCTCCTCTTCATCTGCATCCTCCATCCCAACCTCCTCTTCTCACTCCCCTGCATGCAGTAGAGCAGATGGCGTTCATATTTCCTCTACAGTGGGAGTTTGCTTGATTAATAAAGTGTTTAGTGATGAGTTCTTACCCCCTCTTCCTCATCCTTCAACCACTTCTGCTCAGTCAGACTTGACAAGCTTCCAGTTTCGACCACAGATCATATCCCCCCCTTTCATTCCTAATGTTTTTTTTTGGGAGCATCACAGTCCCATGTTGCAAACATCCTCCTTTTAATTGGTAAAACTGTTCCTAATAGAAAATGGAAAACAGTAAACATATGCAAAACAGTGAAGAGTGACAGTCTGCTATATTAGATCGGACAGTACAGACCACACAGAGGTTCCACATGTAGAATGTTCTCCTTTACCACAACAACAGTTGGGTTTCCCTTGAGCTAGACACGTAACCATTAACTCAAGCAACCTTTCCTGCTTCTTTTTAAAGCTGGATGTCATAAACATGAGCTTTGTTAGCAAGCATGCTATGTTAGCAAAGCATAATGGGATTAAAGGTTTGGTCCAAGTCAACATTTTGTTTATATAGCTCAATATCACATATAACACATTTGCCTTAAAGGAATCTAAAATCTGTAATGTATACAACCCCCTCAATAAATCACTTGGTGATACAAATGGAAACGTTAAGTAGTGTTTTTGGATCGATATAAATGCATATCAATTGAAGGATAACGCATTCCCCTTTTTTAATTGAACTGTTTAATATACTTCGACATGAGTCTAGCACCAAACCTACGCCTTTTTAAGGGTTCTCTATTTTTTTTCAAACAAAGTTACAGATGTTGTACAGGTGTTCATGTGCTCATACTTTATGTGGCTGTCCTATTACTACTATCCAGAGCAAATCACCTATACATGGCTTCATATATAGAAACGTGGTTCCTCGATCATCTTCATGAAAGTATATATATATATATAAACATTCCCCCGGTGTAGGTGTTGACAGTGGAAAGGGCACGCTGCATTATGTCTTTCCATGTTCCAACGTGATCCAAACAGACCGTTCTCCTTTAAACTCGCTCCAAGTCCTTCATCTGCCGGTGTCAAATGGGCGGATCTGGCTGTCCCGCGCTGGCCTGGGCCCCAGAGACAGATTGGGGTCAGTGTCAGTCTCTGTGGATCGGCTGATTGGAGCCATTCCCCTCAGGTGGCCGGTGGGGATGTGTTTTTCCGGTGCGCGTGCTTCGGAATCAGATACATCCTTTTCAGGGAGTTCAGAAGGGAAGAAGAATGGAGGGGGAGATGAAAGCAAAGTTGAAGAAGCGGAAGATGAAGACTTACCTTTGTCCCAGTGCCATTACGTGGATCTAATACAGGGATAAGGAATGTTCGGCCGTGCAGATAAAAACTGACAGTATAGTAGTGTGTGTGTTTGTGTGTTTGTGTGCAGGTGAAGGAACTGGCAGCATCATGTGTGTGTACAGTATGAGGTAAACACTCACAGTAGGAATATGATTAATGTATCCCAGCAGGATCTTATCTGAAAGATCCATTTGATGCAGTTTGAATCCAGGTTACAGAGCAAAATGTAGTTGTCAGTTGATACATAAATCGTTTTAAAAACCAAACTTATTTTCAACACCTGGGTGCTAACATGCCTATTTTAGGGAAAAATGAAGCACAAAAATGATAGTAAATTGGTCAATTTCAGTTTTCTTTTCAACAACTTCCATGTCAGGTGACTCAAAACTCCTAATCAATACAGAGGGGCATTACTACACTTGAATAGGTAGACCTTTCTTTTTATTGGCTTTGTAATGTTTTTTCAGGGTTTTAACAGTGCATTATTTTAAATTAGACACTAAAATGACAACAAATCTGTCTCTTCATTAGTTGTTTAAAATTCATTATGCCTCAGGTATCTCACTGCTGTGCTGAGCTTTTTGTTTTTTTGTGACCTTAAAAGTGGTTTGGTCTTTGAGTGTCCACAGCTTCTTGGCTCTCCAGGCCATGACTACATTTATATAAACATCCCTACTTTGGGATTTCATGCCCAGCCTGGCTTAGATCATGTCATTTTTTGAAACCCTGCAAATCTACATTTTGAACTGAAATGATTTTCCTCCTGAAGCAATGGGCAGTTATCTTTCAACAGGGTTCCCGCGGGGTCTTAAAAAGTCTTACATTTGATAATCAGAATTTAAGGCCTTAAAAAGTCTTAAATATGATCCTAAAAATTTGAAAGTTCTTAAATATGATTTAAAACTTTAAAAGGTCTTAAAAATTATCGGATTTGAAAGGTAGGCTACTTCTGTGTTGCGATCACGTCTAAATGTGTTTTAGGGGAAATGTCCTGGCAGCAAAGTAACCAGTACGGTAATAGCCTTTCAGTTCCCCCAACAATATGTATTGAAATAAATCAACATGGAACCAGTAATCACTAACTTTGCATCCCCCCGGCCCCTTATCGGAGAACACCCAGCTAGTAACCTAGCAACCAAGCTTCAGCTAGCGAGAGCACGCTCGTGAACCGTTGCGCCGGTGTTGAATGCCCGCCGAGATATGCATGCACCTCGTGGGAGCGCACACAGCGTAAAGCAAAAACTCCCAGACATTTCAATGATTTGTACGGCAAAGTTAGGTTTGGAAACTATATAATTTCCTTTTTGGAGGGCATGCATAACACGGCATAACACCGGAGCCTCGCTGCGGGGAAACCTTTGCACGTTCCGAGTTTGTTCTAATCCCTCAAAATGACAGACTGCTTTCAGATTTTTCCATCATTGTTAAAAAAAATGACGGAAAATATTCGGTGCGAACACTGCCTCCGGGCGACGTTTGGGTCTACGTCAACCCTAAAAGTGGAGGTGCTGTGGACGCTAAATACCGTAGCTAAACACCAATCCTACAACAGCAACGATGAAAGACTGTAGCCAAGGGAGCAGAGCTCAGAAGATGGCTCTTGTCACACATACATACACAGAGACAGGGACGTGCACAGACATTTGGAGGGGCTATAGCTCTAAACTGGAAAAAGGGCCTCTCCCCCCCACCCCCGGAAATAAAACACAAGACCTTTTGAAAATGTTAACTTGTTTTTAATGTAAAAGGTTCATAACATAAAAACAAAACACTGTCATTGCAAGTGACACTCAGTTGACTTTTATGTCCACTGCTAAATTCGTTATTCAGGCCCCGTCGAGGGAGTTTACGGAGCAGAGTAAAAGACACAGCAAGACAGAAGCACAATAACAAGTATATTTAGGTGTTTTTTTTGTAAATAACCGACGGTGTCAAGAGGAAGTAAAGTCCCCTGATTTGTCCCTTATACTCTAACGCCAGGCAGGCATTTGGTGTGGTCACCATAGCCATATGAGGCCGGAGGGCTTTCCTTTGCCTCCAGCTGTCAGATTGTAAACAAAGTCACGTGACTGGGGGCCGATGACAGCGCTGAAAAGGTGTGTTTCCCGCAGCGAGACGCTACAATACTAATTGTGGGCTTATCATGTTGATTTGGCCACAATAGAAAAAAAATAAAAACTGCTCTCTCCAGAGGGGCAGGTCAGACAAAAATGGCAAACGGGCTGTTGCCCGGGCAACATTAGCCCGTACCTGTGCACGTCCCTGCACAGAGACATACACACACACACACACACTTTCACGGTTAGGCAGTTATTTTTTTCTGGTTTTTGGCTAACACAGTTCTGTGTGCTGTTATGTTCAGTCATCTTTCTTATGTTGAATGTGAATATATTTACTTTGAAAGTAATTATGGGACGTATTTCTTCTTTCATAGCAATTTTCCTTCATATTTTCTTGCTGTGAAATAGGTCTTAAATTCTATTCAAAGTGGTCTTAAAAAGTCTTACATTTGAGTTGGTGAAACCTGCAGGAACCCTGTTCAAGACCAATTAACCCTCAGACATATGTTTCCCCATAACCCTTTCACTTTTCCGATGACTTTCTGTTATTTTAATGGAATGAACAACTGTATCGCAATGCCAAACTCAGAGGCTGAATGTTTATTTCTGTGTTTATTTCCTGCATGTGTGACATTGTAGTACCAAGCTGTAATTTGAGTCACAACAACAAAGATGAATGTGGAACGGAACATGGCGTACATGGCGTGCTATCCGGTTGCCTTATGTATGCCAAGGCCAAAGTTAACTGAAAATATCAGGGCCTTAATGTCATGGTTCTTTGTGCAAAAAAGCTTTTACGATTCTTGGCTGTACGACGGCTTTTGACTCAATTTGTGGCCTAATGAAATTTAACTTGGCTTGTGTCAGATCGCCGTCCCCAGCTTTTGCATAAGGCAGAATTTGGATGCCAGTTCAGAAATATAAAGGAGCCCATAAACAGTTTTTTCCTTTTTAAATATGTTCCATTTGTTCTAATGAGCTTTTGATTACAGTTAATGGAAACAAGCCACAATCGCATATTTCTATTCTGTATTTAAATGTTTTTATAATCATAAAATCAGTCATGGCAGGAAAACAGTTGGGTGTACTCTTACACTAAATGACTAAAGAATTAGCTAAAACAAAAACCAGAAGCCTCGTGACCTTTTGAGCACTGAAGTCAAACAGTCAATGAATTTAAATGCATTACGACACCAGTACTGCGGCTCTTGCTTTAATCGTTATCAAGCAGATCCGGTAACAAGCAGAATATAAACAGAAGATTTAACATCAGGGTTATCTCCGTTTTACAGGAGCTGGCTGTCATCCCAGATCTGACGGGAGAAAATGGCGGGTATCTGTTAAAGGACTGGAACTTCATCCAGGTTTCTGTAAGTCCACATTTTAAGCACAACTTTCCAGAGAAATTAAAACTTGTCTGTTGAAATATTCATGATCTTTTCCTGCCAAACAAGGGTCTACGTTTTCTAAAAGCTTCTAGCAGACCTTGTTATCTTGCAGGTCATCATGGAGAAAAATGTAATCTTTGCTCCAACATTTCTTATCTTCTCAATTTCCTTGGTCTCCAGGTCAGTCGTTCTTGCCTGTCTGAAGTGGAGGCTTTACTGACAGATCTGGAGGCAGCGAAACAGGCTCTCCTCCACCCGCTAGTCGTTATTTTGGTAAGTCCGCACACTGACACTCAATTCATGGTTTTACAGAAAATACTTCAAGGGTATCGCAGCCTCACTGGCAACTCTGTAAGGCTGAGCCATGATCATTAGTACCAAATGTCATGGCAATTGATACAAATATTGTTGGTTCCTCTCAGAACCACATATGTGACCCTCATGGTGGCTTTTGAGGAAGGGTCAAGGCATCAGTAGAATGTGCGATGAATAACATGGCAATTTATCCAAATTGTTGTTGAGCTATTCCAATTTGGACCAAAGTGATAAACAGATAGTCATTGCAATCATTAGAGCCAAGCCTAGACTCCCTTAGATTTGAAGCACAGATATTTAAAGAGGTGAAGAAGAATAAATGCATATATTTGAGTAATTACAGGAACTATGCTGTATCCACTGCACAGGAACGTGACATGTGAAGTTATAAGGAGTACAGGATCATCATGTTGCCAGAACAAACAAAACTGGGTAAATCCTACTTATTACTTGTTTTTTCTTCTCTTCACTTGAAAAGGTATATAGATGAACAATAGACAGTCTAACAACATTGTTCACAACACATTAAGTTTTCACAGTCATCCTGGATGCTGTTGGTCTAACTTTTTTAAAAGGACTTATTTGACAGTTTATTGAATATAAGCCCAATAATAAGTCATTAACATGAGCAACTGCAGAAGAAATGCATCTACCTACTGAAACTGTGTTATAATGAAAAACTAAGTACACACTCAAGTTCTTGTTGGACCATTCATCCTAGCATATACATTTTCAGTCTTGCAAAGCTACCCTGTTAAGAGGCAAATTTACTTATAAATGCTTAGATTAACAAGTTTGATATTTTTTGTTTCCTGCCTTCCTATCCTTAAAAAAAAATCTCCAACGTGTTTAAAGAGCTACTGCGGGTCTGTGTTATCTCTAAGAGGCAGAGTAAAACATGTATCAGTATCATTTCCCACACTATGAATGAACTTTTCTTTTCATGTTGTGAATACAGACATCTGGCGCAGAACAGATTCAGTTTCTTTAAGAATCATGTACTACACAGGGAACCAAACCTTGTGTTTTTTTCTCCGCTTGTAAAAACGTCACCTGTAGTCCACCTCGGGTCCCCTGATGAGCTCTTTAGCTGTTTGGAAACCCAACACCTCCCAGGAGAGCGCTGCAACTCGCCTCGCTCACTGTTGGCCCGCTAACAGAGCAACACTGACCTGAGAGCTCACACAGAGCAAAGCCCAAAACAACTGATTAAATCCGATCCAAGAATCATCTAAATATTTGTAAAAGACCTGTTAATCCACTTTTTTTATTTGGTAAATTGAACCTCTTTGGCTAACACACAGAACAAGGGCCAAAACAACGGCAGGTAATAATAAGAAAATATACGTACAGATCGCTACCACAAAACTAAAGTCTAAATCACTGAAAATGTCACGCTGCATTACCTAACTGGAACCCCCGCTTGTATTTGTTGTAACAAGTTTTCACTTGAGATGGACACACACACACACACACACACACACACACACACACACACACACACACACACACACACACACACACACACACACACACACACACACACACACACACACACACACACACACACACACACACACACACACACACACACACACACACACACACTGAAGCTGGGTTTAAGGGGGATTGACTCCTTACAAAAGCATGTCAGAGTTCCCACAATTCCCACTGTCAACATGTTTCTATTCTCTATGATTTTGTTAAATTTAGATTTTCTATATTTGTCTTCTATTAAATTCCACAACGTTCAATATTGTTTTTCTTCAGTATTGTTCTTTACATCATATTTTTGTTCTCTTGTTCTCCGCTCCACTCAATTTTGGTCTATTCTATTCAGTTCTATTTAATCCTGCTACTGTTATATTCTACGTCTATTAATCTATTCTGTTCTACTGCTTTTAGTTGACTATATTTCCCTCTGTTCTGTTCTGCTTTAATATAGTCCACTCATATTGTGTTCGGTTCTATGCTACTCCTTAATTCCTGTCAAATTAGTTTTAGTTAAAACAAATAACAGCTGAAATTATTGATCAATCAATCGACAGAAACTAACAGCAATTTTGTTAGAATTCAAAAGTAATTTAAGTCAAACAGATTCTTAAATGTGAGGTTTTTAATTATCTGAGTAAATTGAATAATCTTTGCTCTATGAATGTTTGTTGACTGACATTGTATAATGTTGAGGAAATAATGGATAATAAAAACATTCATTAGTTGCAGCCCCACAAAGACTTTATTAAAAGCTACCATGTCTGTAACGTTTAACACAAAAAGCATTTAAAGGACAATGATCCATTACTATAACAGATCACACAGATGTTACTTTTCCCTCCCGTTATAAACTGATTTCATGCTCACGTCAGATAGTGTGTGAACTGTCTGGGAAGTTGTGACTAAACGTGAAGCAGCCTCTGAGTATCACGGTTATAAGTGATGAAGCTTAGCTCAGCACCAACGTGTTTTTCTTACCTTTGTTTTTGCAGGCGGCTGTTGTTAGGTTGCACACACACCCCGTTATTTATCACAGCTTTGATCACATGGTAGTGATCAGTGGCAGGATAATTGAGTTTGAAGTGTAGGTGGTAGCCTCGAGGGCAGAGAGGCAGACTGCGTGGTGGAGGTCACCGTTTCAATCCGTCTGTGAATATGAGGTGCTATAGCCTTGAGCATTGTATTCAAAGACAGAGCCCCATGTTGTTGATATTATCACCTTATGTCTCATGTTGTTAGTTTCATAAATATATGATTGATGTTGGTTCCAGGAGTTTTTTGTGTTATGTAGTAGACACTTTTCTCTTAGTAATTGGCGGTTAAAATCACATGTCGGGAGACCTCAAACATATTCCTGGATAACAGTTAAACCCCTTGGCAAACATTCTTAAGTTTTACACCACGTTGGCATTTAATTTGAAAAAGGAACTACGTTTTTATGGGCACAAACATCTTTCAGTTCTAAATTTGTGCGAAACCAATTGTTTAAAAACGTTTTGCTTTATACTTTTTGCTTTTAAGTGTTCAAACCATCATTGTTGTTGTTCATAGCGAGGACAGATATTAACTGCCAAAATAAAGAGGAGGTGATAGCACCATTTTATATCAAATCAAAATAACCACTTATTGACCTGCCTTGCATTCTTCCACTGACGTTTGTGGCCATCACCTACTTGCAACCACAGTGGTTATAAAAGCAACCACTTAGTATTCATCAGGGTATTACAGATAGCACCTGCAGCTCTCCTATAAAAAATAGAATAGACATTTCTTGTTGATGCATTTCATTCTGGTCTTTTGAGGTTACTGATAGAAGTACGTTTATTATATCCTTCTGCGGTGGACGTCTTTTGAGGCTATACAAAGCAATCAGGCTCTACTTATGATCGAATAACTCCACTCATGGTGAAAAAGACTGCTCATGTTTTAGATCACCCAAAACCTTAACTCTCTAGTAGGTACTTTTACATTTTTTTAATGGCATTTGTCGTTGTAAATGGCAATATAATGTATGTAATGTATAAAGTATTTTACATCTGAAGTATAAGGTTTACAAAGTAGAGATCTCTCTCTTGACACCCCCATAGACCCAGCCAGTGGCCAAAGGTACACATGAGTTCAACATGTTATTGTGTAACTGAATGAAGCAATTTCTCTTTTTTTTAAAAAACCTTTTTGGCTTTAAGAAAGTTACCAAAATGAAAGACACTTTGCTTAATTAATTCATGCCAAAGTGTTTGCAGATGTGTGGCAGTTTCTATTTTGGAACATATTATTCATATTGTTGGCATAAACATCACTGTGAGGGTTTCAGTCACCTCGTGAACTTCTGGCCTGGCGGTTTACTAGCTGCTAATGTGCTGAATAATCACTCTTCAAATTGAACCAGATGACAGCAAGCACCTGATTGATACTCGAGTATAAATGTAATAATTGCTCAATTAGAGCAGGCGTCTTGACACAATTCAACCGATTATCATAACTATAAACACGTCTCACTGCCGCAGTTTGTAAGGATATATGACAAATGAATTGCAATGAATACATCTTGGTTCAAATTTCTTGTCAGGGGAAGGGTTATGGTAATTAGCTAAGATTTGTATTAGGGATGACACAGTAATGTGAAACAATGTGTCTGGATTATGCTCCTCTAATTGGACAGAAAAACCCAGAGGCCCTGAAGATTTACAGCTTAATAAGAGAATCATTATATCTGGAGACAGGACTGTACATCAACCAACCTCTGTTTACTCTCACCACAGATCCAAGATCTTCCCTTGAACACATCCTTAAAAATCAGGCCAATTGAGTTGCAACATGTTGAAACGCCTGCTTGAACAATGAGCTGTTATTGCTCCCAAAAAGGTAAGAGATCACATTTTCTGATTTGGCACCGTTTCTTCTGTTTTGATAGGTGCTGTTGAGTGGTTCAGATGAGCTGTCCGTCAGTGGGAGAGCGGTGGAGCCAGAAGCTATCATGGACCTGGCCTCAGCAGCAAAGCTCCGAAATATTCTTCTCTATGGCATCCAGCTTCATCAGTCAAAGGTAAGCTCTTAATCTTTCCCTTTCTTTCTTTATGTCTTCCTGAAGTGAGCCCAGAGTTCCTGCGCTGTGAATACATATCTAAGAGAGGCCAAACAAAACAGAATGGAAAACGTCTTTTAGGTGTCTTGTTCCAGTGTCGTGCTTTTATGCTTAAGGCGAGGTTGCTGTCTTTTATCACATCTTTATACAGTATGTGATTGTGCACACTCACTTGGATGGGTGTGTCTTTTTTATGTGGCAACAGGAATAAATGTTTGCCCACTATTGTGATAAAGGATATCAACTTTTCACCTTCCGCTTTATGTGTTTTTCAACTGAACGCCACAGGGATGAAAAGGCTGCAGAGGTGCTTCAGGTGTAAAGCAGATTAATGACTGATCTGTAGTTTGAACCTCCACAGTTAAGCTGTGTGTAAAGTGAATCTTCTGCAATGCCCGCCATGTTTGCACAGCAGTCATCAAGGTGGATGCGGTTGGGCTGAAATCCATATAGCTGCTTAGTAAATGTAGGATTATATAAGGTAGAATTATTGATCCAGCACAGTGAGATATGTCAGGATTCATGCTACCAAAGCCGTCAAATTACAACATCAGTGCCAGATGTGCAGGGTTAACCAAAGACAAATGCTGAATATTCATGGTGATGTTGGCCTTAAATATGACATTCATCCTGATTTATGGTCAGGACTGACACAGCAATGTGATAAATTAGGTTTGTTGGCAGGAGCATGGCTTCACAAATCAATTTGTAAAAGCCTCTGTAGGGATGTCTGAGCAGTTCTGCTTTATTCCCTCCTGCTAAAGAGAACGGTGAGGCTGAAGGATGAGGCCTGGTCTTCTGTGGTCAGTTTGCATTGTTCGTCTTGGGGCCTTGACATCACAGTAATGCCTAATTAAAACAAGATGCTTTCATATTCTTGAGCAAAACATGAGATACGCTGCTGGGCCACATATGAGGTTGATTCCCCTATCGGATGTTGGACATCATGGTTTTCCATTGAATTATGGAACTGATGCTGTTAATTTGTCATCCTGCCTCGAAAGAGAAAAGGGGAAGGGAGTGAACGGAGATAATGCGTGTTTCAACATGACAAAATGCTTATCGCTGTGAGATAGTGGAACAGAAGAATACAGCCTTGTATAAATCATTGTTAGCTTTTTCGTTATAATGAGGATAATTCTACCCAGATGGCCTTATTCATACTTCGAGAGGTGCCTGCCAACACTGCGCCTGTCAGCCATACAGTAGAAATGAATATTGCACATCAATTCTCAGTTATATATCTGAGGGCAGACAATAATGCACACATAGTGAACATGTTCAGGCAATCACTTTGATTATTGAAAGATTAATACATCTGCATGGATTGCTTAAAAACTGATATTTTTTTCTATTTAGTTTTTGTACTCGGTGATTGTTGATTTCATTATCACATGAAATACAGCCCTATGAAAACATAAACATCTGAGATGCCATTGTTATTAAATAATCTGCCATATAACTGAGCGTCGGGCATAACTCGAGCATCTTTGCCATGAAATGAAACACTTTTAACATCCAGAGGGATTATGTCATTTTCAGAATGGTAGCTCACTTTGTTGTTTACCCCACAACAAAACAGCCTGCAATACATTTTCTGTTCCCTGCAAAGAAAGGTCAAGTTTTACTGTTTGGAAATCAAAAAAATATCTTAGTAAGGAAAAACACTGAAAGCATTACGTTCTGCTGCTGTTTCCAACATGTGTTCTTCCTGTGACATTTGACAGTGTACTCTACATCACATTTACTCAATTCATATTAATACGATTTTGCCTTAAATGCAGTTGTAAGTGAATTTCTTTCATGTGGCTATGTGCACGTGTGTGTGTACAGATTTAAATTGAAAAAGACCAAACTCTATTGCTGTCTCCATACAGTACTGTACAAAGCGGCTCGATGGTCCACATCACGACAATGTTGTGGTTTATCATGTTATCCAACATTGACCAAACAGGTGCAATCAAGTCAGTTTGTCAGTTAAACCTTTTTAAAGATGTATTATTGTAAACAGAGTAATGCCGGATTAAAGGTGAGGTAGGCTATGAACTTTAAAACTAAGTCTCAAAATGACTTCACCACATAACTAACTGTGGAGTTGAGCAGGGTGACGGAGACGCAAAGCAGCATGAGGCAGGGCAACACAACTGTCAGGGAAGTTGGCTAAACTACATTTGAACTGCAGATTTGAACCAAGCGCTGGTACAACCTCCTCTTCTGTTCAGTGTGAATGATTCCTGCCTGACAGCGCTGTCAGCAGCCGTTAGGAGAGGCACTCTGATGTGCGTTAGCTTTTTATAACTGTGACCAGGACGTCGCTTTTGCTTTCTCTGACTGTGGAAATTTGGTGTTTTCTCATCACAGAATGATCAAAGCTATTTGAATGTGGGCCAGGGAAAACAGTTAGTGTGCTGGTGTCCTGAACTGACACTAACACCAGAGGAGTGAAAAATATAGGCAAGGTGGGTTTAAGAAAAGACATCGGTAATAATCTTGAGTATTCATATGGATTGTGTCTCAATTAAATTACAATGTGTATGCTGCTCTTTCTGAAATGAGGTTTAAAGGGTTTAAAGTCATTACTGTGTACAAATGAAAAGAACAACCTTTGAGAACATCTTCACTCAGAGGAATTGCTGGATTCACCAACCTGTTGATAGAAAAATAAGGACATTTGGATAATACAATGTAAGCCTCTAAAAGTTCAAATGCATGAGCACATGGAATTGTTGTGTTGGTCCCAGAGAGGTTGGGAAAACGATCCACCTCATAGACCTTTTTATTGATGTCTTTTTGGATGAAAAGTGGATTCTCTCAAATGAGGCCTGGCCGTGGTTTCACATTATTCAGACTAACGCTGAACCACTGCTGCACAATACATCCAGCAGCGTGTTGCAATGCATGCCACTTCACTCCGTACAGAGGAGAGAGTGAAATGGAGTCACGGACAATGAACAGCAGTCTCACTAAAAGGACATGTGATCAAAGCACTTCTCAAGAGCCTTTTTCCATTTGTGTTGTTACCTCTCTGAGGATGCCTATCAGGTGGGATAATATGTGAAAACATCAAACCTAAAGAAGTTGGCTAAGGATATGCAGACACCGGATCCCCATAAACTGACACGATGTTGTGAATATGTATACGCCATCAGTGTCTGTAGTGGCGATAGGAAATGTCATTTGATCCCTCCTTGCACAGCGTCCTGGCGACTTGTCATCCGTTGAAAAGGGAGTTGTCAAGGTGATATATGGGTGTTGTAATCCCTGCAGTGAGAGCCCTGATGTTTACCCAACCCCATATTTCCTCCTCCTCAAAGAGCCCGGTCCGGGAATCCTAAACCTGAGGAGAGATTAGCTGGCCAGGAAGAAAAGAGAGGGAGAGAAAGAAGAGGAGGGAGGGGAAGTAGGAAGAAAAGAGGACTCTATAGGTCTATTCTCCTCCACCTGTTCAGATCTACGTCTGAAAGGCAGACATGTGAAACCGAACACAACCCAGTGAAGCTATTGCTGTGACACACTTGGAGTTGTACCCTCATCGGGTCAAGGGACATCAGGGAGACTGTCGCCGCTGTGGTTTAAACACACTCCATACTTTTCTCAGGCTTAATCCAACAGTTGTCTTCTTCTGAGCAAATGAGTAGTCATGATCGGCAGGCACAGCTTGAAATGAAAACAAGCAAGGGCCAGAAGGTTGTGCAAAAAGTACATTTTATCTGATTCAACACTGATTCATTTCAAGGCGTCACAAGACAACAAGTCTTAAAGTTTAAAAAATGTACAGAATGATCAGATTGAAGAGTTCACACTAATCTCTGTGAGGAGAAAAGTGAAGGAGTCCGTTTTTACAAGCTGAGGGGGACATGCATTTTGTACCATATATCATGCAAATCCATGCAATAGTTTTCAAGACATTCTACTGAAAGTCTCAAATGTCAACCTCATGGTGGTGCCAAAGATATTTGCTAAAACCTTTTGGAGAGATTTCAATGTATAAGTGAAAAATCTGACCTGCTGGTGGATCACCAAAGTCAGTATAATTCATCCTTTGTGGACCATGATTATATGTACAACATGTCATAGCAATCCATGGAATAGATTGAAAGTAAATGAACTGACATTTCCATTCCTGGAGCTGGCTAAAAAGAGTGTTAAAGTACGCCAAAGCTTATAAAGTCATAAACAATTAGGTTTGACTGCAAAGTTCCATAACTGAAAGCTGGTCCTTCAGTTGAGTCTCTTCAAATGAATTACACAGTCCTGGAGAAATCCCTAAATGAAGCGCCAAGGGAAAATGATTTCTCCAGAGGTCTTGGTCCACGCTTTTTTCTCACACTATATCTGTCAGTCGACATACGGAGCTTACCCTGCTCAGGTCCAACTGGGCAGACAGGTGAAACCCAACACACGCAACTGAAGCTTTTGCTGTGACACCCATGTATTCTCACCTTGGCGGGGTCAACGGAGATCAGGAGTCCTGCCTTCTTCGCTGTCTCAGCACCCTCCCGACCTTTCTCTGAGTCAATCCAACAATTGTCCTCGGATGAATAAGTGACGGGTGTTATATTTTTTGTGATTTAAAGAGTATTAGAACCTTTGACTCGGCCTGAGAGACTGTTATCATTCCAATGTCTAAAAATGTGAAGTTATCTTTTATTATGAGACAAAAATGATCACCAAATTGCTTGCATTGGCTCATTGACTAGACTAGTCTTGGAGCTGAGCGGACACTGTAACTGATAAAGAAAAAAAGCTTAACAAAACAAATATTTGATAAGTTCCTTTAGAAAACATTGCAGAAAGCAGCACAGATAAAAAAATGAAATGGAGTTGTTTTGCGTTTTTGGGAGGGCTGACAGATTTGGCTAGTCTTACTATTGATCCACTGCATGTTGCGTCCAACATCCACCCTGAGCCTTCACACAGTTTTCCCCTGCTGTTTGCCTAAGTACTTGTCTTTGGTCTGA